CTTATATAAGTTTTAAGTTAAAGTCATCTGATTTAGCAGGCCATAGGACTCAAATGGAATTCAATATAAAAATATGGTTAGGCATTAATCTTAACTAAAACTGTCTCTTTTCATTTTGGCTTAACCCCTTTTCAAAGTTTCCCCTGAAGGCTAGCAGTTTGGTCAAACAGATAAATGAACTTTTATTGCCTTGGTTCTATATGATTGAATCTGTTACTAGATAACTTTATTAAGGAAATGAGTTGAACTTTGCAGAGAAATTATTACAAAAAGTGAGACTCAATATAATTCATGTTCAGGACACAGTTCTGAATAAATGTGAATTAGAAGGAAACAGTTCTTTTAAAGGCTAATATTCATTGCTGCTGGGGTTAGAGGTAAGGCAGCTAACACCTAAGTTGACAGAACTTAGAGGGAGTTTGGAAATACTTTTCTTTGATACATATAAGGAAATTTCTAGGCACACCATAACGAAATAGACATAGAACATGAAAAATTATACCTACAAATTTACTGTTTATAAAATTTAAACATTAGAAACAAAAGGTTGTCAGTTGATTTTATAACAAATTATAGATTTGGTAGTTTAAAATAATCATACGCACATATGTCTATATGTCAAAAATCTGTCATTCTGTCATAGTTCTATGTCAAGCTACCAGCATTAATACATTCTTTCTGGGGGTTATGGAGACTGCATCTTCAGCTTTCTTACTTCTAGAGGATGACAGATGTGCTTGGATCACAGACTCTTTACTTAATAGTCTATAAGCCTCTCCCCCTATCAGCCTAGAAAGGTTTTCTGATTTTAAGGACTCCAATTGGTATTGGGTCCATCAAGATAACTCTCATAGTCACTCATCTTACTTAGCTAGTTCAGCAAGATCAGTTGTATTATTGGTGATGCGACATATTCACAGGAAATTCACAGGTTCCAATAACTATAACATGGACACCTTTAGGGAACACTTATTTTTGTATTCCACAAAACTGTAGGGAGACAAAACAACGTGAGTTAAGACATTGTGAGATTTAACATTGTGAACTATGTTAAAGATATTTGATGGGCAGAATCATGATAACTAGCAAACTTATAGCAACTACATGATAAGTAACGTATGGAAAGTTTCATGTATGTTGACATAACAGTTGTATAACATGCATGCATTATTATTCCTTATATTGTATAGTTAAGGAAGTTAAAGCACATTTGCCCAAAATTGGTGGGTACATGATAGAGTTTGGTCTAGAAATTCAAATGGACTGCTTTCAGAGTTCATACACTTAATGACCATGTTCAACAGCAACAACAAAACCCATCAAGTTAAAATATATTCTGTTGGCATAATCCTATTTTTGTAAAAGAACAATTGGTATAAAAATTACCTATGGGTAGAAAGGCTGAGTGAGTACTTTCACTTTATTTACTCTCAACATTTTAATACGCTATTTTCTTTAATAGCTATTATTACCCAGACAAGTAAAACATCCAAGTTTGTTTAAGATACCCAGTGAATTAAATGTTATTTTAGTCACCGTAAGGATAATTGTTGCTGATCTGTTTGTAAAATGCAACAGAGACTCTATAAATTCGGAATGAAACTGCTCAGTGGAGATGCACAACCAGACATGAGTTTTTGCTGCAGCCGACCATGGAGCCAGCTCTGACTGGTTTAGAGGCTGTGTGCTCAGGACAGACCATGAGTCGTCCAGAAAGATAAATGACGTGGGTGTGAATCAACCTTGAGAGCTACTTTAAAGCAGGATGCCAAGGTGAGCCCAGATGGAGGGATGCTATGTGTAGCACATTTCCTCACAGAAACAAGGTAATTAACAATAGTTATGTCACCAGGCTAGTCAAGGGAAGCCCTTAGCACTTCATAGCTAAATAGTTTATGACCTTCTTTCTAAATGAAAATGGCATCGACATTCCAATTCAAGGCATCTCTCCCCTCTTTGCACCTCTATGGAACAGTCATGAGTCTCCCAGCTGTGATTAATGTTTCTTCCACTAAGGCATTTAGTTCCAGGGACAAGAAGAAATGGGACAAGAAGGGCACAGCCACCTTAAGGAATGGAATTGCATCCCTAACTAGGGCACCTTTCCAGAAGTCAGACACTAGCTCTGCTGTATCTAAAGGACATGACGGGAATTTACTTCACAAGGAACCAAATAAATAAACACCCTTTAAATAGCTCTGTCATCATGTCTGGGTAAAACTGGAAGACAATGACTGAGAAATACATTAAAACATTAATGAGGGCATGTTGCACAATGGTTTGGAACAATGATTTTTATTTATGAAAAGATGAGAATTCAAACTTGACAGCTCTGGCACTGAGAACATGTGAACCTTTCACCGAGATACTTAACCTGCCTGATATTTTAGTTTCTTTCACTTGGGAATTGGCATTGTACCAGTTCCTAGGTTTCCTGTAATTAATGAACAATGTGATGTAGATTCAGCAGGTAGATACAAGTTGCACACAACACTGACTCACCATCAATTACATCTGTTGTTCATTCTTTTGCAAATACTGTACTGATAAAAGAATAAGAATAAAGGCCTTTGAAGATTCTTTTTTGGTTGGGTTCCTTTAGAGGCAGGTATCCCATACAAAGGTATTAGTGCAGTGCTTTATGGGAAAGCTGTCCCAGGGAATCCTCAGACGAGAAGCAGAAAGATGAGCTAAAAAGAGACGGTTGCCACTGTAGCGAATGGAGACTCAGTGCTGGTGGGGATGCCCGTGATGTAGACTGGTCTGCACTGGGGATCTCCTGCATGTGTGTGCAGAAAGCTGAGACCATCATTCCCCGCCTCTCCTCTATTGCTTGGGAAAGATGGATCTCAAGAAGTCATTTCTTTTCTTAGTCAAGCACCACCTATGTTTAGGAAACAGTCCATTCTACTTATAAAAAGATGAATGCCATGTATTGAAGGGTCATAGTTTAGTGGTTATGAATGAGGAAGAGACAGACAGCATTATGCTTTCCTGTATAGGCTAAGGATTTTTCAAGCTAATTCTGATTGCAGGGAGACTATTCCAAGGTTATGGATGAATCCATACAAATGGCTGTTACTCCAGTAAATTTAAAGCGCTCATAGAACACTTGGGCACACAGCAGCAGCTTCTTCAACAGACAGCATTAGCTTAGTTTTACCGTTTAGTCTGTCCATGCAAAATACTTGCAACACAGCAGCCGCCTGGCAGCTTAGGTGGGTAAAAGCAAGAGTGACAGGAACTAAAAACAAAATGCTACTAGATATCCCCAGTTTCAGTTTTACCCAAGGTTGTGAAGGCCCCAGAAGGCGAGTAACAGCACACACTGGGGTACTGGCATTTCATTAGTCATTGGACACACTTCTGAAGACATTAGGAAAACGCATTTACAAATGGGGCAAAGAGACACCCATTACAATATAGTGTACGAACAATAACAATTTTATAAGATCAAATCCTTTTGGCTTTCAAAGTTGGCATATCACTTCGGATTATCTGGTCTGACTTCTGGAGATTAAAGCCCCAATGCCACATTCAATCTCTTGAGTTACTCTGAAATGTAATGTTTGTTCAAAGAAGCCACCATTGGAGATCCACGGTGTGGTTACAGTTACCCTAACAAATGCCACTTTCTAAGTAAGTCCCACTTGCCATAGAAAGCTCGTTGCCTAGCTTTCTTTTTTTTTTTTTTCTTAATTTTAAATTTCTAAAGACAGGAAGTGAGAAGATGGTATTTTGGTTTTTTTTTTAGTTCCGTGAACAGTTCTTATCACTCACAGCAATTTACCCCCAATGGCTTTATTCTGCAGTGTGTCTTAACGCTATGCCCTCACTCTGTAACAAGATTAGGGTTGCTTTCAGTCTCTGCCAGAGCTGCAACAGCAACTTTCTTTTCTGAACCCCAGTGACCATCACTTGCTCCAGCACGGTTCTTCATCAGGTTTTCACCCGCAGGTGGCAGCAGCGGGCTCCAGAGCGCGCGTCTGCAGTAAATGCTGCCATTAGTTCTGGACTCTGACCAACCAGGAATGGCACATAACCAGCCCGACGGTCCTTGAGGTCAGGTAGATAAGTGCTCAAATTTCGTCTGACCCTTCCATTGTTGAGAAGAAAGCAGTCTGAAGCAGCCACAGCAAAGTCACGAATTTCTTCTGGTTCCCTAAATGTCCCAACTTCAAACAGCAACTCAGTCCTTTCCCCTGCAGCAGGGTCAGCTTCAAAACTCTCCATGCTCCTACCATTCCTGTCCTTGGCACCTGGGTGCTAAGCACGCGGCAATGGGATGTCCTTCTAGCTCCCTGGGCTCTCTGCTCCACTCAGGTTTTTCAGAGTGACAGAATGCCTTAGCCGCACTCCAGTTTTGTCCCACCACCCCCTTTCATAACCCTGCTCCCCTAAGCGCACACTCACACACACACACACACACACACACACACACTCACCACACACACATGCACAAGCAGCTTGCTCGCGGGTAGTGCTTCTGGCTGGCCTGCCCAAGCAAGACCGACACCAACCCAGCAAGCCACGGCCGTGCGGCCCGCACTCCTCCGGCCGGATGATGCCTCCGGGTACCCCGGGTCACCACCACCTCGGCCGCCGCAGCCTCTGCGCGCCGCGACGCCACGCCCGCAGCGGCCAGGGTTGCAGCCCGGGTTGCTCAGCCCTCCGAGAAGTTATCGCCTGGGAGAGGACGGCGGGCTCCGGAGGAGCACGGACCCACACATCTGGGCGAGGGTAGGGGCACCGCGGGGACTCTCCGCGCGCGGACCCCGCACCCGCCCCGCCTCTCCCCCCCTCCACCCCCGGGGCCCGCCACGCGGAGCGCAGAGCATCCGCCGCCAAGCGCGCAGGGGAGGCGAGGCAGCGCCCGACGCGCGTTTCTGCCGCCCCCGGAGCCCGCGCGCGCGCGGGGAGTGCGGGGCGAGCGCGCGTCGGGCGGCGGCCGCAACTTGGCGGGCCAGATGCCCCAGGGCGCGGCGGCGCTGCTGCCTGCCTGCCGCTGCCGCCCCTGCGGGCCCTGGGCGCGTCTCCTTGGGCGGCGCTGCCCGCGGCGCGGCGTGTGCACCGAGCGAGTGAAGGTATGTGTGGCGGGCGCGGCTGGAGCTGGCGCCGGCGCGCAGGCAGGTCCTAATGCCTGTCACTTCCCAGGACATTGGCAGCGGCAGCCCGGAGCCCCCGAGCCCTGGGCAGGTTTGCCTGTCCTTCCCGGCGATCTGATTGGATAAAGTGGGGGCTCGACGGTGGCCGACGTGGGACAGTCTGGCTGTGGCAGGGGTCTCGGAAACCATGGGTTATTGCAGTGGCAGGTGCACGCTTATCTTTATCTGTGGCATGCAACTGGTAAGTGACGCTTGGGTCCTCTTATTCTGTAATGTGCCTTTGAGAGAGCGGGCAGGGAGTGGAGTAAGAGGTCTGCCATTGAGCAGGACGGGAGGAAAAAGAAAAGAGAAAAGGTGACACATATTACCTGTGTTTAAAAATCATGGGGGGGGGTTGTAGCAGAAGTAAGCCTTGGCGCCCTCCCCCATTTCTGTCCCTCTAAACACAGTTTTGCAGGTGCGGGTTAAAGTTGTTATCTTTCATTTCTTTAAGAGAATTGAGATGTAGCTCTTTTATTATGCTTGGCGTTCCTGTTAGTGTAACAGGGTGATTGTCATATATATTTTACTATATATGTGTTAAGTGGAAATGCAGATTCTCAGATTTCCCTTTTATATATTTGTTTGGCAGTGTCTTTATTCACTGTCATTTGGTATTTTTCTAGGAACATTATACTTCTCTTAAAAACTCCTTGTTTAGGTAGAATGGCATGCTTACAGCATTCTGGACTAGAAAAGCCATACTGAGTTTTGAAACTGTGTAGATTGAAGAGAAACACTTAGATAAACTCCAAAATACCATTGCCCTAGAGTGAACCAGTAACCTTTAAGTTATAATTGCTGCAACAATTCCAAGAAAAAATAATATATTTTCATCCATTGTGTATGGTGTTGCCACTATTGTCTGATCGCACAGGATACAGAATTGTGTGCACTCTTTGAGGAATGTCCTGTAGTTGCTAAAAAGGCAAGAAGCCAACAATGTCCCTGGATTTCAATTCCCGAGGGCAATGGGAGGGAGGGGCTGAGGGGAAATGTAGAGGTGAAAAATTACGACACTGGCAAGTGGTGAGTTTGAAGTAGAAGGCACTTGCTTCATCCGTACCAAGTAGCTGTCCATAGAAACTATAAATTAATCTAAAAAGTTACCCTCACTTGTTTTAAAAAGCCTGGGGGATTGTAGGATGGAAGGTGATTATTGAAAGCCTAGCCATTACAAAGTGCTAAAATGAGTAAGAATTTGCTATTGAAACTGACATAAGAATTCCTTAAGTTTTGTTCACTGTTTATCAGTTGCGAAGACCAACAGCAAGGTTTTTAAAATTTTTTATTTATTTAGATAAAGTAGACTTTTTGAGGTATTTCAGCTCTGGATTTGTTTTCCTTTCCGAGGAAAGTTACCTGATGATTTATTTTTGGATCTGTGAATTGTGTACTATGGATTTGGTTGTACAGAAAAAGAAGATAGAACAATAGATACAATTTTCTCAATGCTATATAAGCCAGCTTCTATTTCTCTACCATAGATTCATATAAGTTTTGCAGCACAGCATTTTTGCCATTAATGATAGGGTTAACCAGAGTTTACGCTGTAAAACTGCCTACACAGCCCAAGTGTTCCAAGTTGTTTTACATTTTCCAAATGTTTTTATTTTTGTATATGTTTTAGAATATTTTATATTTCTATATTCACAGTGTAACAGCAAAACTGAGAATAGGTTGGTGAGCAAAGCATGCTTAAGTTCTTTTCAGTTAAAATGTAAGTTAATTCTTATCGTTTAATGTAAGCTATTAATTTATTCATGTAGTAGGGCAGTTGTATGTTCTAGATCAAATGACATTTTGTGTGACAGAAATACTTTCTTAAAGCAATTGAAAAATATAACTATGCCAGAGAGGAAGGTAAGTTTACAAACATGATACAGCTGTAGTTTTCTTTGTGTTTGTGCCTGTGTGCATGTGTGTGTGTGCATATGCATCCATGCAGCCAACCGTGTATTGTAGAAGAGCTATAATACCTAATGGAAAAGAAACCTCAATCATGGCTAAGTTCTCCAACTAGAGTTGTCTGCAAGAAGGGAGCACTCAGTCTAAGCGAGTACACGTATGAGTCCTGAGAAGTATTTTCTGCTTTATGAGAATCATGGTCCTTTTTCAATCCCACGTCTGTGTCACCAGTCGACTATAATGAGCAGCCACGTTAATGCGGAAGAAGAACAAAAAACAAAGGACAAAGAAAATTGTTTAGATGGGGTGAAATGATCACACCCTTTGTGACCTAAGAGTCTTCTTGTTAATTGTTGTGCTGTAGAGACATTTATGTACTTTTACATAAAATATGTCTTTGCAAATAGCTGTAGACCCCAGTGAGAAGAAGTTAATGTGTTTCTCTGTGTTTATAGGTATAAAATGTTTATGAATCTTTGAGCTACTTTGGGGAAATTTTGTTTTAGATGAAAACCAGATTCCCATGATAAGTTTTGGCTTGTGTATCAGTGATGGACCTGAAATTTCACTAAGTTTTGTTGACTTCTGAAGTGTTTGGCTTGTGTTAGGACACTAGTATACGTTTTACTTTCATAACTGCACCTTAGATTTGCTAACACTGTTGGAAACCCAGGGTGTCTAAGTTTAAAGTCTTTCTTTTTTGCATTACCTTCATTGAGTGTCTACAAACATTGATCCTTAACTTTATAAGTAGAACATTTTAGTTGAAAGATTACATTAATTTAAAGCTGATTTTAGGAAATGATGTGGTATCTTTACTGTACAAATAGAGACCTCCCTTGTTGGGTTATTTTCAAAGGAGATGTGGTATTTTGAACATTTAACATGTGAAGAACGTAGTGAAAAGCACCACAAACATTTTCTGCCTGGTGTCTATATCCTTGTTGTGAATTATGTAAATTTTTTATCTTAATGTTTGAAAGAGTGCAAGCACAAGTATACATATATTATTGGAATATCTGGGAGTCAGACTGTAAGATAAATTACAATTCTGTACTATGATAATTCAATATAAAACTTCCATTCTATGAGAAAGTGCCTGCTTATATCAGAAATGGAACTCTGTGAGCTGTGTGGTTAAACTGGCTTCAGATATCAGAGTGATTCTTGCAAGGAGGAGTATGACTTCTGGAGAGAGATTTGCTCCATGGGCAGAATCCAGAATTTAAGCTCATAATCACTAGAATGTAATTTCCTTGTTATCATTGTTGCCTTCACTGCTCAGAAACTGAAGATTTCAGATAGAAGCAGAAATCACCACTGTATTTCTAGTGATGGGTTTAGTAGCACAGGCCAAGAACAATTTAACTTCCTATTTACAATCTTTAGCTTGGGAAAAAGTCCACCTTTCCCCCCATCCATTTTTTTAAGTCAAAGACTACTTCATAGAAATGCTCTAATAGTTCCCATTGACAAAAAATAACTCAGTTGTAACATGGAAGAGCATAACTTATTTTAGATTGAAAACACAACATTGTTTGCAAGAAAGGGAGTTCCAGACCTTACGTTTTCGTACATCAGAGGCCTGTGTGGCATGAAGTGTGTATCTAATAAACTACTGAAGCAAAGTTTAGATTTGCTTTCAGCAGACAGCCACTAGTATTACTGACTTGGAGCAGGTGCCACTAACGATCAGGTTAGCAGCAGTGTGTGCAGCAACACATTTGAAAATTAAGAATAGTGGTTGCTTTCTACTGCATAGTTACTAAGCATTTTAAAAGGGGGGCATTTGCTTCAAAAAAGGCCACAAATGTAGACATAAGGAAACAATTTTCTTTTAGTCATAGAGTGCTATATCCATTGTGATTTTTTAAATGCATAGTTCACCATTATTTGGTGATTATTTGATTACTTTGGAAAAACATCAGAGCGTGGACAGGAAGTGACTTGGGAACTATAGGCAGAGTGTTATGGTGCTCTTGGGTACCGCATTTGACATGATGTTCACAGATCTAACTCATGAGGAAGAGTGAAAATTCCCATATGGCACTTCAGAAAGTGTGAAATTGAAACATTCTAAGGGGTTTCTAAATTGTAAAAATAGCTTTTCTTGTTTGTAATGTTCTCTACACACGTACAAAACCATTCTCTGGTATATATTTTATCTTGACATACTCCTTTATTGTAATTAGGTGTGATTATTCTTTATCTACCATTTACCAAGAAAAGGTTAGAAAGTTCTCATGGTATCTAGCCCTGTGCCTTTTTAGAAAGACACGTGGAAAACTGTTATGCTGCTATACAGCTCATTTCAGTAAGTTAACTTGTAGAGTTCTTCCATCTTTCTTCATACAAAAGCTTGGCTAGGCAGCACCTACTGTGCAAAAGGCCAGCATGATCCCAGTGTGGAATACAGATGTAGGTGGTGTCTCAGAAAGGTAAATGGCCATGACCCCTCTTTTCCCCAGTGGTGCTTCTTTACTTTGGGGTCAAAATTTCTACTTACCTAAGCAAGAATTTCAGAATAGAAGTCAGGGATGCCTTGAAACAGGAAGCTTGCTTCTGCGGGGGACACTCTTTCATTGTTGGATATGTTTACTTCTTGAAAGATTACAATTTCAAAGATGGGAGCAAAATTTCCCACCTTTGTGCTCATAAAAGAAATAAAAATATTCTAATTTTAGCACCAATTGCATTACATAGTTTTGTACATTTCTAGTGCCTAAGTTTTTAGGGAATGTATATTACTTACATGGGTAGATTTTCAAATTGGACAGTGTCATTTGTTCACAGGTAATTTTTAAACCATCTCTATACCTTATAACACCCAAGGATCAGAATCATCCAACATATGGGAAACATGACCTCTTGCCAATATCCTTCTGTTTTGACCAATGCCCTATGGAAACCTGATAGTTGTTTGTAGCAAGAAAAATACAATAATTTGTCACTTAACAGTGCAAACAACTTCCGAGAAAGGTTATCATTGGGTCGTTTTATTGTGTGAACCCTATAGAACTTATTTATGGAAACGTACGTGGGTCACCTGCTACACAGCAGGTGGTATAATATTGCCAGGGTCTTATGTATGTCTTCAGCTGACAGAAACATTTCACAGAAAACTTTGGGGCAGATGTATTGCATACAGAGTTTCTTTGTTAAGCTGTTTTTCACAATAGTTACAGAATAAAATATTATTTACACCTAACGTCTCTAATAAATAAGAGAGTAAAATCGTAGTGTGTTTTCTTGCCATCACGCAGAAACTTACTTTTTGAAAGAACAACATGAAAC